TAGGCCCCAAATGAAGTACTGTGGCCATATTTGGCCGGGTGCTGCCCGGTCCTCAATTTCCAGTTTTGATGAGTTCAAAATCGTCTCCGAGTCCTTGTTAGAAAAGAATTATTTTCCACCCACCAGTTTTTTCTTCCTTTTGCATTTTGCATTTTGCCATGATAATTACCTGCTATTAGTCCGATATGTAGATTTGTAAATCATGTCTTCCATCGATTTAATCGTTCTCTTGCGCGCACGCGTCTGTCCCTTGATAAGTATGTTGAAATAAAATGCACAGCGAGAACTGGAATAAACTGCAGAAACAGCACAGACTGCTTGCTTATCAGCTCGTTGATGACTCTCAAAGAGGAGATTAATAAATAAATACACTATGCAATGGATTCCATGTCCTTTCGAGGTCGACCAACGAGTAACCCAAGAAAGATCAATGGAGGATTAACCTTTTGAATATTCAGATGGACATGTATATGTTCTAGATAATTATCAGTGCAGTTTAACATAATATCGAGTAAAGGTAATGCATTGTTTGTTTCTGTTACATAACTTCAATTCTATGTTCAATACTTTCAGTTTATCTACGAGATCAGGGATTATTATTATTTTGGGGTGATTTATTAATAAATCATCCTAAGTTGTTAAAGTGAAATGTTTAGGAAAGAACCAGATTCTAGAAATTCCATAAAAAATATCTTATCAATAATATGAATTCCTGTTTATAAAATTTATTATAGAAAGAAAACCGCTTGGGAATCCCAGGTGCTGTAAGTTTGGATGTGGAGGTGGTGTAATGGATAACGATTCTGAATTCGAACACGGCTCACCGATTTCCAATTCGAGTCGGGTTCATTATATTACGCGCAAATCCCTTAGGGAAAGTGTTAATCAACTCTTCTCCCTCCAGCTATGGGTTAATTCGTAGGACTTGTATCAGTAAATCATTACCTCCAAAAAATTCTCACAATCTAAAAAATATTTTCTGGCTTTTAACTTGCAAAAGGTTGATAAGCCATAAAACAAAACAACCATAGAGAAAGGAATGAAATTACATCTGTTTGTAATAATTTGGCAAATCCGTGTAAGTTTGCCTATCGGTAGGAAGGAGTTAGTTTTTGATTTTACTGAATATTTCTTTCGGAGATGCAAGCGTTTGTTAACTAGTAGGTTTGTATAGAGAAATTTATTTATTTATTTATTCTTTTTTTTTTTTTTTCCAAAGCAATGTTATTTTTGACTCATCAGATTTTATTTTTCCTGTTCCGAGAATTTTGAATTTGTTCATTTATCTGAAGTGTAGTTGTAAATAAACACATACCATTTTATCTTTCATTTTATTTTTCTCGTACTTTTAGAAGAATTTGTAAATTACAGAATTAATAGAGAATCAATGACAAAATCCCAGCGAACAAAATTTTAGCCTCTTATAACATGAGTGAACAAAATCCCAGTCTCATATCAGATTAATTAATAAGATTAGGTGCAAAGGCCATTCGACTGATATTATATTATATTAAGATAACACACACACACACACACACACACACACATATATATATATATATATATATATATATATATATATATATATATATATATATATATATATATATATCCTGCTTTAGTCAAGAAGTCTCCACTGAGGAGTATGGAACCACAGTTCCTAACAGCTAATTTAGATTCTACGGGATGAAGTTGATAACCTTATTCTTAACCGGTCTTTGAATATAGTGCCAAAGCGGTTCATCATCTAAGTACTGACCAGATTCGATACAACTTAATTTCGATGATCGTGTTTCAGCATGATCTGAATTCTCTCTCTCTCTCTTATATATATATATATATATATATATATATATATATATATATATATATATATATAAGTGTGTGTGTGTGTGTGCTCTGTGCTCTACGTAAGGATTACCTTAAATCGACTTCGACTATAATATCTTTCCTCTTGATTTGCAATGATTTATTCATATAAAATCATTTAAAATGAATTTCTATTCTAAAGCATTGGATTTACCTTGTACATATAATAGTCCTTTCTATGAAAAGCATTTGTATTGATAAATGACTACTGGAAATCCTTTTAATTCATTAACAATTCATTTACATTTTTACATATAAAAATCCGGTGAGTACATAGATGGTTGACGTCTTGGAAATACCAGGTGCTGTAATCTTAGATGTGCGGGTTGTGTAATGGATAATGGCTCGAGATCATTAATCTGACAGCCAAGTTACAATTTCACTTGGGTTCGTTATATTCATTTACGCGCAAATAATTCCGGGAAGGCATGAATCCACCTCTTCTCTTCCAGCTATGGGTCAAATATTAAGACTTATCTTACTAAGCATTATCAGCTCAAAAACAAAATTCCTACAATGTAAAAATATCTTCTGGTTTTAAATAACCTGCCAAGGGGTCGATAAGCCGTAGAAAAAGAATCAATTAATCAAAATCCTAAATAAAAAAAAAGAAAAAGAAAAAAGGTTTTTACCACAGAAAATCGTTCCCCTGAAAAAATCATAGCAGAATTATTTTTGAAGCTTCTTTTTGCAGAAAGAAATCTTGAGTAGGACACTAAATATCTTTGCATATATTATATAATTATATTATATATCATATAAAAACGGAATCTTTCGAACGGTATGCATTTGATGGGGAATGTGTGATAGCAGATCATTTATTTACAGTAAATATAATAATCATTACCTTAAATATAAGCGACAAAACATATGGTCAAAAATGCAAGTAATAATGACAATCTTGGTCTTTTTAAATCCACGGTCAACCGATATATTTACTAGCTCTCATATTACCCTTACTCCTTAAAATCTCACTCAGTACCCCTCTACCTTGAGTTGCCCTTGAGCTTTGTATTGGGTAAATTAGTAAAAAAAAATGGGTAGGTGTCTTTGAAGGACAATAAAAACTTTTGCCAGCAATTTTCACGGTTTGCCACCCCAGTTTCAGAATTCATATACGATCCCTCTTTTCGTAAATATAGATGGCTTTTCGAGACATTAGAAAAGTCACCCATTTAAAAAAATGTATGGGTTTCGCTTGCAGCATTAATAAATCACGTTTTTATCATTTCATTTGCTAAAGTCAGCATTCCGATATAGAATTGATGTTTTGGCTTTGTATGTGTGTGTGTGTGAGAGAGAGAGAGAGATAGAGAGAGGGAGAGAGAGAGAGTTAAAAGCAAATCAATCTTCAATCGTACGAAGAACACACAATCGCGCGCTCAAACGCATAAACAATAATAACCTTCAAACACACACAAACACGGAGGACCATAGAAAGAAATCTCATCGGGGTTCCTTTCAGTGTTTCTTTTGCATCCTCCTCCTTCTTCTATAAATCAACCTTTTTTTTTATCAACTGTAGTTTTACGCCAAGAGCTGTAAAACGTGAATGCTTGTCTTCAACATTCAATCATTTTCTGAGATCCCAGTAAATTTCTGGGCTCTTTTGCCTCCCTACACTGACGCAGGTGGCATGTACTTCTTGTGACCCTTCATTCACTGGCCCTGTACCTTCCATTCGTTAACTCTGTATTCGCGCCCACACACATAAATATAGTATGGATTCCTGTCAATTTTAACTTTGGTGGTAGGAGTTTTTTAATGGAGAACCATTTGTAAACATCAGCTATTCATTTCTTCATCACCTGTCACGATATGCAAGTAACAAGGCTTTTTGTCAATATATCTAGTGGTGGCATTTGAATATGTTGGTGATAAATAACATCTATGACTAGATATTTAATTTTAAAATAGTGAGAACCTGTCTACCTTGAAAAATCATCATTTGAAATGGTTTTCATGACGATTGGCAATGATGAGGAAAAGACACAGTTATCTCGATTTTAAGCAAATCTCGCTAAACCTTTATTTATAATTAGATGGACATGATGGTCAATCCTTGAATTTATATAGTGGCGATTTGTGTCCTAGTAGCACTTTGCACCCCCCCCCCGACAACTGATCCACGTGATTCAGGAGTGACCGACCGAGAATTTTTATGATTATCCCACCGACAACAAATCGCTTAATTTCAATTCATTGGACTATTTCGTCTTGGGTGTCGATGAGAGGGAAACCAAGCAACACCCTCTACAATACAAAAGATTTGTTGAAGGCCGCTATCATGGGCGCGATAGCCAGCATGATTCAAAAACCAACTAAATTCGAATGTTGCATCAGAGTTACTTTTATATAATTTTTTTCTATATTATAAATTGTTTTCAGTTATCTGGTGGAATGCGCATAGTTTAAAATTAGCTTTATTTTTTGGAGAAGAGTGATCAGTATTAGATATAGATGCGTTTATAGATATACACAGTGTCGACATATAAATCAACACTGCATGGTGACTGTCAATTTCATCCTTTAAATGGAAATGGGGGAAATGAAAAACCGACCTTTCCCACTTCTTTTGTTTAGAGCAAATGCTTTAGGTTACTAAGAGTCATGACATTTAGTTTGTTTTGTTTATTTATTTTGAATTTATTATGTTATTCATTTATGTGCTTTATTTATTTATGTTGTATATATTCTGTGGGTTAACATTTTAATATTTGAACTAAGGTTTATAGTTGTAGGATTTAAAAAAAATCTTTTTGGACATTATGTGGTTCTAGGTAGTGAAGTAGGAATTTGTTTTTGTGTTTGAGAAAGGTCGGTTTTCTTCTTTAATTTATATTCCGTAGGATATTTTAAACTCAGAATAATATACAAGGAGGTGCTGAAAATCTCAAGAATATCTTGGTAAATGGGTCGGAACGTTTTTGATGTAAATAAATGTATATACTGTTTTAATAAATAGAGAGAAAACATAGCATCTACTCAAATCAGAATCCATTACAATTAACGTTTAGACAAATAAATATGTCGGATTAATAAATGAAAAATTGTTTTCAGTTATCAGTTATATATTCATATATATATATATATATATATATATATATATATATATATATATATTAAGTTGTTGAAAACACCGGTTCTCGTACGATCGCCAAAGTTAAGCAACGTCAAGCCTGGTCAGTACTTAGATTGGTGACCACTTGGGAATATCAGGTAATGGAAGCGTGGATGTGCGGGTTGTATAATGGTTAACGGCTCAAAATTGGAGAGCCGTGTTCTAATTCCAATCGTGTTCGTTATATTCACTTACTCGCACCCCCCTTTGGGGAAAATTATCAATTCATCTTTTCTAATCCTCTTCGGCTATAGGTTAATTAGTCGGAGTTGCATCAGTAAATCATAACTCTAACGAATTCTTACAATGTAAAGTGTTTTCTGCCTTCAAATAACCTGCAAAACGTTGATAAGCCGTAAATATCAAATCGACTCAATCTAACAGGTTCTGTAACTTTTTTATGAATTTCCTTTGCTATTGATTTCAAAGGTCATCTTGTTACTAAACATGATATTTTCCAACTTCCACTTGTAAGAATCTTTGATTGTGTCTTCTAATAAAAATTATATCCTGTTAGAATTGTATTTATATTTTAATACTCTGCTTGTATAAAAATTAGCAAAGCCTTTTTATAAAGGAAATTCTCTTAGCTCTCCAATTATATTCAGCTATTATCTGATCATTGATCTTTTCTAAATCTAATTGTTCGCATTCTTTTTGATATTTCAACGACAATAAGATATTATTTATATACTATTTAGATACTATTTATATTCATACTAATGTCCCTATCTTTGTTGTTGCTATCACTTCTAAGATAAGGTATCCAAACATAAGACTTTACTGAAGATTACACAAGACAAAAAAAATATTCTGTATATCTATTGATATAGTGATGAATGAAAATTGTTCTACTGGATTCAAGTCAATGGAGGCAGGGGCCATTAAACAAATCTGATATTCTTTTGACAAAGTGAGTAATCGTCAACATTAAAAAATATCAAGGACTATTGCCTTGCAGGAATGTATTATTATTAATTTTTTTTGGGGGGGGGCTTAAAACTTCTTGGTTCTCATTTGTGCTACTCCCAAAAACGATTTGCTTAATTTGTGTTTTTTTTTTTTTGTTTTTTTTTCAGTTCACCCCAAGCAAAGGAATAAAACCACAAAGATATAAGATATTAACTGAATGTTGGAGAATATGAGAAAAACATTATTAATGAGTGGGAATAAAAAACAGAACAGGAATTAGGAAGACAAAAGATACCGATTGGCATTACATTTAAATTTCCGACGATCAAAGTTGAGTGGGAAGCAAGAAACCAGAAGTGCGATGGAAGAAACTGTCAGCAAAGAACTTACGTTTGCCATTTCAAGTGTAAAATGATAAGACCTTGCCGTGAATCTAGTACTGCGCTTAAATTCATAAATTCTAAGTACCAAATAGGAACGTTCATGAGAATAATTACCATGAAAGTATTTATAGAAAAGTCACAGGGAAACTACTAAAGACAAAATGGCAGGTCAGGGCCGATAATATTGCAGATTCTTCTTTTATCAAGAATCACTACTTTTTATACATCTATTTCTGTGGTGAACGAAATGTTTTCTACTGGATTAATATCTGAAGTGTTATTTTTTTTTAAAATTTCAACAACAATTTTATTGAAGAAAGTGGGCTTGGAGAACCTGACATTCATATGACATGTTTAAAGCAAGAGATGCAAAGAAAGCAGCGAATAACCTCGCTGATGAACGTGTTTAAATGATTCTTAAGGGTGGTAAAAAGCCAAAACTTAATAAGAGCTTAAAAGGAAGTTGTGGATAGCTGTGTCCCTGAAATTCTGAAGGGACACGGCACATAGAAGAAAAGGCATTTATTCCGTACAAGTCGCCATGCTACAGACAAAGGCGATGTATTTTTAACCTACTTTCAATGCGTAACCGATGAAAAGCGTATATTAAAAATGTCCTTGTTCTCCAGACAATGACCCTTGAAAATGAAAAAAAAAAAGTCGGCCATATTTTTTCTCTTTCTTTCATTCAGACTCCGCTGACCCAATGGTCTACATTTTCAAACATTTCCTGCGGTTTGCTGCCTAGTGAAAAGGGCGGATTCAGGTCGGGCGGATATTAGATTGTGAATGGGTTGGTACCTTCGTTGACCAGCCCTTGCCTCAGAGAATGGTTGGCGGTTGGAAGTGAGGAGGTGGTTTGTCTGTCAGCCACACAACTAATTGGCCCGATCAACCCTACTATTCTCTTACTAGCACAGCTGCTGTGTCAGCCTAGAGTAACGCCTAGGGTCCCGACCTCAGAGTCCATCAAAATGCTTGGAGTGAAAAGCCACAAAAAGAAATGGGTCAGTTAAAAGGAGGAGTGGGAAAAAGTAACTGTTTCTCCTGACTCAATCTGAGCCCTTAAGAATCTCCTACTCATCATCATCATCATCATCATCATCAACATCATCAGTAGTAATAAAAAATATTTCCCGCCTTTACTTCTTTCTGCTTCTTTTTTTCCTACCTCTTTTTTTCTCTTCCTTTTTTTCTATTTTAAACCCAGCCCCATTTTCGTATTATTTCTCTCCCTACATTTATAAACGCTCAGTATCGCCATCTTTGTTCTTGTTTAACTACCACCTCTCCCCTTGCTTGAATAATGAGATTACAAACCCAGTAAACAACAATGAAAATGATATGAATGAATTTCGGATGAACTTGCACAGCACAAATAAAAGTCAGCATTTATCACGCGTAGTAAAAATTACTGTTACAATGAAACAGCTTTTCCATCTAATTTGAAACTGAAAGTTGTCGTATGTTTCGTGAGTTTGAAAAGAAAATGTAAATGACAAAGTACTTCAATTAAGCATTCAGCTGTACTCCTTAAACAGCTGAGCCATCAGGTCGTTGCTTTAACTTGCAAGTACACAAAATTAAACGAATCTTTATGGTCATAAAAATTAAAATATTAACCACCTACAAAAAGTATATAAAGTATGACTGCATGGGGAATTTAAGTTACTGGAAACTGTGCAACTGGCTTTGTTTTCCCCATGCAAACCAGTGGCATATGCACAAACCAGAATTGTATGAGACTTTGAGATTCAAAAGGATCACTTAGTAGAGTTCTGAAGAAAAAGAAAATCAAAATGGTTGATTTCTCTGCAATAACACACCAAAGAAAGATATTGAAAAAAAAAAGAAAAGAAAAATTGGAAAATATTTCCATCTTTCGAGAAAACTGAAAAAAAAAGAAAAATTAAAAAATGTAGGATACAGTCATACCCGTGTGTACTCGCGCGCTTGATACAATCTTGAAGAATTTTGCAAAGCATCCAGACAACTTGGTCTTCATTTTTGTGCCATATTCCCTTAGGACGGAGATATGATCATGGCTCTGTACATTTTGCCATATTTTGCAGCACGAAGCAACATGGTACATGGCGATCTATACTTCAGGCCAATTCATAGTACCACGAAGAGCTAGAACTGTTTGAAACGTTTGAATTTCGGAGATTTGGGGGGGAAAGTTAAACATTCTTAATAATTGACTTTCATTAAATTTGTAGTATAAAATATTATATTTGCGTCTATTCTATTTTTAATAGTAAACTAGGATCAAACACTTCTTTAAAATACCTTTTAGAAATAATTATTACTTAGAAAAAATTAAATCAATATATATATTATGAATAACAATATCCTAAAAATATTAAATTAACTTTATGTGACAAATAATGAAATCTTTAAATATATGCCGTTATGTATAAAACAGAGCTGAGGGGAAAAAAGTCTTCAACCAATTTATTTGCACCTCATCATTAAAATCTTCCTCTTTATAAATTCTTAGGCATGATAATAGTTTTTCAAATGACTCCATACCCTCATCAATGCTTTTTGTTCCACTTCGTAGTTCCTTGCTTACATAGTTAACTTTAAAAAGTCATTCATACCAAAAATATCAAAGAAACTAAAAATTTGTAGTATTTAGCGGTTTGCTAAAGTTTCAGCTTCTGCTTTTACCTTGGGCTCATCTATTATCTCGGTTATTTCCATAAGTGCATCATATACTGATAACGAATAGCTTTAAGGCTGTCAGAGACAATTCAGGTATCAGCAAATGTCAAGTGGCCCTAGCATGTCGTACATCACATAGTACCGTATGGAGGGCATTTCAAAAGCAGCGCCTGTATCCGTATAATTTGCAATGTGTGCATTGGTCTTTCGCCCTCTGATCACTCATCAAGGGAGAACATTTGCAGATATGTTATTGAGTGCAATAACACATCTGCCGATCTATTGTTTGGCTCTTCAGTCTTATTTACGGATGAGGCAACATTTGGAAGAGATGGAATAACAAATTTACACAATCAACATTTGTGGGCGGATCGGAATCTCCATGGTACAATACAGGCTAGTCATCGGTGTGTCATGAGTTTATGATTAATGTGCGGGTTGGAATTGTAGGTGACTGTTTGGTAGGTGCATATGTTCTAGCAGCACGTCTTACAGGAGCTGTCTACAGAGACTTTATTTCGAACACACTTCCAGACCTGTTAGAAGAAGAAGTACCCCTGCTAATAAGAAGACTCGTGTGGTCATGCATGATGGAGGCTCCAGCATATTTTGGTTGTAGTGGATATGTACATGTTCTAATGTAGCAGTGCTTAATATATATATATATATATATATATATATATATATATATATATATATATAGATAGATAGATAGATAGATAGATAGATAGATAGATAGGGTATATCAAAAATACTTTTACAAACTATGGAGGCTGGTTCCTCACACGAAAACAAGGACAAAAGTCAATATAAACATATGTCCAAAAGGCCATCGTTGTACCTCAACACAGCAACTTCTTCCTTCGACAACACGCATGCACTCTTCAGATCTTTGACTGGCGGACCCTTTCAAATACTCTGACACGCTGTCGAATGGTTTCGTGATTCACTGGATGAGATTTACCATGAAAGATGGGTAGATAAGAAAGGACCGGTCCCATAGCCTGTACGTTCGTCCAACCTCGATCTTTTGAAATTTTATCTGTGACGTCATTTAAAACAATTGGTTTATGCAGCAGACATTAATAATATAGAGACGTTTCATCAACGTTTCATAGTGGCCTACGAAACCATTCGACAGCGTGTCAGAGTATTTGAAAGGGTCCGCCAGTCAAAGATCTGAAGAGTGCATGCGTGTTGTCGAAGGAAGAAGTTGCTGTGTTGAGGTACAACGATGGCTTTTGGACATATGTTTATATTGACTTTTGTCCTTGTTTTCGTGTGAGGAACCAGCCTCCATAGTTTGTAAAAGTATTTTTGATATACCCTATCTATCTATCTATCTATCTATCTATCTATCTATATATATATATATATATATATATATATATATATTAAGCACTGCTACATTAGAACATGTACATATCCACTACAACACTGTACATCTTGTTTCAACGTTAAAAATATTTTACCGTCTCATCAGGTGGGAAATCACGATGCTACTAAAATATTTTATTCCGATATACAGTTAACGGAGCACATCTTCCACTTCCTTCATTGAAAAGTTTCCCATAAAAGGTAAAAAAGAATTTACATGTGGAGAAAGAAAGGAAGCTAAGTGATTAGTAACATCGGGAGAAATAGAAGAGAAATAAAAGTAAAAAGGCCAAGAATAGGAAATAAGGATTGAAAAAAAAAGAGGAGGAATGTGAAATAAACAAAGAAGCAACAAATTCAACCAATGGAATTCCGTCGAATCACAGAATTCGAATTTAAACGCTAACATAGCGGCGTTAGGTTAATGTTTCTATGGCAAAACCTTCCTGTAATCGGAGAAAATCATTCATGGAATGTAAAAGATTACTACAGTATTTTATGAAACGGACTTTAAAATATAAATTAGAATACTAAATTTTAAATCTTTATATTGTCATATACTTAACCAAATTTTACTTTACAATATGAATTAAAATACTAAATACATTTTAAATTTTCGTATTATTTTATTTAGCATAAAGCATTATTAAAGAGAAATTAATTCAAATAATATAACGAATAATTTTTTTTTAAAAATAAATAGGTGGTGAAATCGAGATAGAAATAATGGTAAAATAAAATTAAAATTGATATTAACCTCCAAATTACAATAAATTAAGCTGGAAATAGGAATTGATGTTATTGCACGTAGAAAGGTAAAAAAAAAAAAAAAAAAGAGCGGGAGATATAAATGAGCTTGGATCGAAACCCGACCGATTCGACGTCAGTCAGAGTTCCTACCTTTAAGTCATCAACACTCCAGGGAGACAAGCCGCGTTATTTTATGTGTCTTGTTTTTACAAATGTGAACGAACATTTTAAATTTCTATATTATAAGTAACATTTTCTAAAACAAATTAAATAAATAAAAGTAACAAAAATAAAATTTAGATTATCATATATTACGGTTAACTTACAGAAGTTAGAATAAATTAGAATATATTTTAGGTCTAGAGTTAAATTTCAAAGTAAAATTCAAATGAAATATATATTACAAGTACAACGAGGCTATATTGACGGTGGTTACGATGCCATGTTTATAAACATAATAAACATAAGAAGATTCGTTCGTAGATTTGAGATTTCTTTAGGAAAATTGTAAGGTTAATTCCTTTGTATGTTTACAATTTATTGCCGTTTGGTATCTCCAATTCAACAGATTGTCCTTGTTCGAAAATTTTATTTGTATTTTCTCCTGCAGGCAAAGAAAGCACGGTTCGTTTAAAGACCTTAAGATTTTAGCTTGTTTTAGGATTTTCCATTTAATTTTGGGTGTTTTATCTTTGTCGATTATTTCCTAAAATACTTGGAAAGTGAAGTCATGTTTCGTTTATCTGCTTTATTAAAAGATGAGATATGGTTATAAAAGCGTATTTTAAAATCATTCATTGTATTTCCGATGTAAAAGCGTTCAGAAGTCCTGGGATTTTCAACCGAGGTAATAGTACACACGTATACTATGGATTTTGTTAAACACCTCTTGGATAACGGGCAATGGTTGGGATTTTTACAATTACACAGTAGCGTCAGCCCTAGTATACTCGTTACTTGTGTTATATAATATTTTAGTGTTATGTAATTTAATTATTTTTTCTAAATTATTTGTACAACTATAGCTAAATTTTAGAGTGTTACGGTCTTCAGAGAGCTCTTTTTAGGGAAACGCTTTTCAACTA